ATATGTGCCATCCCACTTCCCTTAGTAAACAAAAGTTCATTTTAAAAAATTAAAAATATTGAGAATTCCTAAAATTTAAAAAAGATCTAATTTAGTTATATGAATCAATGATCTTATTTGCTCATTTGATGATGAAAAGAACACTTCACATATTATTAACTACTTAGGAATTATTTTTCCTGTTTCACTTGAAGAAACAAAAAATGCCAAATTCTTAATTGTTAAAATACTAAATAATAGATAATGAATATTACATATTAACTTTAACAATCTGTGCTACTTGAATACTAAAATTAAGGCTAAGCAGTAAAAACATCAAAGCAGCAACTAGTAATAGCGCTTCCTCAAGATCCAGCTATACCACTCTTAGGCATAAATCCAAAAAATTCTCAAGTACACAATAAGGACATTTGCTCAACCATGTTTGTAGCAGCCTTATTTGTAATAGCCAGAAGCTGGAAACAGCCCAGATGCCCCTCAGTGGAGGAATGGATGCACAAATTGTGGTATATCTACACAATGGAATATTACTCAGCAATAAAAAAAACAAGGAAATCATTAAATTTGCAGGTAAATGGTGGGATCTGGAAAAGATCATCCTGAGTGAGCTATCTCAGAAGCAGAGGGATGCACACGGTATATACTCACTCATATAGATATATAATATAGGATAAACCTACTAAAATCTGTACACCTAAAGAAACTAATCAAGAGGGAGGACTCTTGCTAAAATTTTCAATTCCTATCCAGAAAGACAAAGAGGCTGGACATCAGAAGAAGAAGAAAAGAGGGAACAAGTCAGGAGCCTGACATGGAGGACCTCTGAAAAGCTCTGCCCTGCAGACTATTAATGTGGATACTGAGACTTATGGCAACCTTTGGGCAGAGTGCAGGGAATCTTAGGAAAGAAGTGGGAAACAGTAAGATCTGGAGAGGACAGGAACTCCACAAGGAGAACAACAGAACCAAAAAATCTGAGCACAGGGGTCTTTCCTGAGACTGATACTCCAACCAAGGACTATGCATGGAGATAACCTAAGACCCCTGCACAGATGTAGCCTATGGCAGTTCAGTGTCCAAGTGGGTTCCATTGTGATAGGAACAGGGACTGTCTCTGACATGAACTGATTGGCCTGCTCTTTAATTACCTCCCTCTGAAGGAAAAGGAGCATTACCAGGCCACAGAAGAGGACAAGGCAGCCACTCCTGATGAGACCTAATTGACTAGAATCAGAAAGAAGGAAAAGAAATCCTGCAGAGGGTGGAGGAAGGTAGGGATTGGTATGGGAGGAAGGAGGGAACCATGGCGGAGGGGGATACAAAGTGAGTAAAGTGTAATTAATAAAGAAAAATAAAATAAAATAAATATTAGGAGAAACAAAACAAAACAAAAAACCCTCAAAGCAGAAAGACAAGAAATTCTATAAAAGTGAGAGTATGTTGTCTAGGAAAAAGTTTTGGTATTTTTTCTCATGTAGGTCTACTGTTGTTTAATAACTGAAACTTTGGAACTCAAGATAGTCAGGATCTTGTTTAACCTCCTGGGGAAATTTTATGTCCTGAATGAGAAATACACAGCATATCTGAGAATCACCACAGTATGGGAAGTACTCCTGCAAGGTAATGTTTAATTGAGAAATAATTGAGAAATACATTGAGTATTTGAATTCACGTACTTTACAGAAAGCATCAACTCTGATTTTTATTTAGTGATTATTTATTTTTTGTTCATGTGCATTGGTGTTTTGCCTGTGTAAATGTCTATATGAAGGTGTCAGACTGCCTGGAATGGGAGTTACAGACAATTGTGACTTGCCATGTGGGTGCTGGGAATTGAACCTGGGTCCTCTGCAAGAGCAGCCAGTTCTCTTAACCACTGAACCATCTCTCCGGCCCAACTCTATTTTTTTTTTTTCAATTACCATAAATAGCACTAGAGTTCCCTTAGCATTTCTCATTAATATAGTCATTCTTTTTTCTCTGGCCATACAATTCTTTCTGTTTGCTGTTGTTCTTTCTTCATTCTACATGAGCATCTAGGAAGTGGAAAAGCAACCACAGGATTCCAGGATTTAATTTTAAATTGCTTCTCAAGCCAAAGAAAGATAAACTATGTAGCGGATACTTTTATTTTGTGATTCCATTTAATCTATTTTACATAAAAAACTGTTATTCTAGAACACTCATTTTAGTGGACTTAATATCAATCACTAACCCAGGTTTAGTAGTAATATTAATTGCAATTCATCAGTGTTCTAGGTGTTTTTACTTTCAGACTGCTCTCTCCATACTTGCATAAAACAGAACTGGTTATAGTTATTGATGTTAAATATAAGTAAGCCGCAGAACACTTTCAAAATCTGAATAAAAATGGGCATTTAAATAATCTGATATTTATTGTCCAAATGTAGACTTTTGAGCTACCTTAGTACTTGAAACTTGCATTATATTTTCAGACAAAAATTGTTCATTCCATTGGATCTTTTTTAACATTTATAGCAAAGAACAAACAGTTCACCTGATAAAATACACGGTAGTTTCCTGAATCCTTTACTTTTAAATAAGTGCCAACTTCTTTTGTTACCCATTACCAGTTGTTAATTTCACTAAGTAATGTAATGCAAATTTGAGCTCTTAATTAGCAGGATTCATGTTGTTCAAGTACACAACAGTGGGGAAATTTTTCAACATGTTGCAGTTGTTACCTATGGAGAAAACACATTTCATCTCAGTGAGAGAAGACACACCAGTACACATGTTGTGGACTGATCTTTTAGTGTATCTTTGAGCAATATTATTTCATAGTGAGTTTCAGAATGAATATGACAAATATTACAGTTGCTGCCCACTCAATTTTTTGGTTCTAGGTTCTTTTTAAAAGAGGAGAGTATAAAAAAAATCAAGGCAATGGAGGGTGTGTATGGAGGAAGAACACTTTATGAAGGATGCATGAAAAAATAAGCCTATACATACATAGCTAGTTAAATATTTAAATACTACATGTGTATCTCTGTGTTCAACTAACATTTGCATTTGCATATATATATAAAGTGAAGAGAGCTTCATGAAATGACAAAAATGAAAATAAAAACAGAAATAGATAACTATATAGACAGTATGTAAAATAGGATATTATCAAAAAATAATATGAATCTATTGCCCATTTTGTTTGTTTGTTTTGCTAAGATTTGGGGCATTAACCTTCAATTACTGCACATTTTTACCTGTAGGAATTAAGGTAGACAGCATAACTCTGATATAAAAGCTATTGTTATTTTTAGCTTAATGAATTTATCATTTATATGCAAAAGCATTCCTGGGTACTGGCTACAATGGATTGTGGCTGGAGCCACTGAGATTTGAATAAGTGAGCTGAGGAAAGCACAGATCTCAAAGAAACGGGTCTGAAAGTCTTTCTTGAATTGTGGCAAAGAATGAATTGTAAGATATTCTAGAGGAAAAGCTTCCCATATATAACTTAGACCTATAAACCTGAAGTCATTTCCCCTCCGGCAGAAAGTAAAGAGAGACTTTTTTTTTTTTTCTAGTGTATCCCTTCCCCTTCACTCTTCACAGTCCCCTTTGAGCAGCTTAATGCTTCCAACCATGTACATACCCTCCACCCCCTTTCCTAAAGATTCTCATCAACCCCCCACCATCCAAGCAAAGTCCCTTCCTGGTCACCTCCAAAGCTCGGAGAAGTGGAATGCACACAATGCCTCCCTTATAACTCTTGTGCTGGAAACTGGGCATGCTCAGTAGTCAAGGCGAGTTTTTTTTTTTTTCTCCCTATTTGTTTTTTTTTTTTTTTCTCCTCTTTTAGTTTCAAACACAGTTCTCTCCCTGTCCCACACCTTGCTTTCCCCTTCCCTTACTTAACTCCCTGTTCCCACCCTCAGCTCTTTAATCATGCATGCTTAATATCTTTAGCACCAAAGGCCTGAAGAGTTCTAAAATATGTAGAATTAAGCCGTTTCCTTTTAACCCTGACAAATAAGCTCACTGTGGGCTAAAGCCTAACACTTTTGCCTCAAAGCTTCAAACCCCTCACTCACAGACAGGTAGGGGGAGTGCGAATACCACTGGATCCCAGGAAACTGGTCCCAAGAATGCTTCATCAAGGACTGCCTGCTACTGAAGTGTTCCCAAAGCTTCCTTCTGACTGATGACAATTAGCCAAAGGAGCCATACCAATGATATAAAATCCAAGTGTGTTTGGGTGCACTATAATGCCACAAGACCATTGTTTTTGTCTCACCCTTCTTCTCCGGAATTATTCAATTCCACAGTGTAGATTTGAAAACCCTGTATACCCTGCCCCCACCCCCACCCCATCTACTCTCCCCAGGCTCTCCAAAATTTCTTTTCCACTACCCCACTTCTTGCTTGCTCCTTCAGAGGAACACCTCCAGTGCGTGTGTGTGTGTGTGTGTGTGTGTGTGTGTGTGTGTGTGTGTGTGTGCGTGCGCGCGCGTGTGTTCACGAGCTCGTGCACGCGCGCCTTCTTTTCCTCGTTAGGGTGCTGGAGGAAGAGAAAAGACTCGAGTGTACGTACGTGGTAGGTTATGGAGGTTAGTGCGACCGTGTTAGGAAATTAGGGTTCTGATACCTGAGAATTCGGGTCGCTCCTCCCTAAGAGATGTTTTAGGTAAAAGAGGAGGTGGATGCCAGGAGGAAAGGATGTTGTATTTCTCAGTGTTTGGATAGAAAAGGACTCAAGTCCGGGGTGTCTGCTGTAGGGTCAAGGGACTCAGGAATGTGTGGGGATAGAAATGGTTGGGTGTCCAGAGGGAGGGCTGCGAGTACGCCAAGGGATGGGGGCGGAGGCGGGGGCGGGGATTCAGAGCGTGTAAGTAAAGGTGCAGCCCTTGTGCGAGGGTCCGGGTGCGCGCGCGATGTCTGGCCGGGTGCGCGTGCGCGCCGCTGCCTGCTTGCTTGCCTAAAGGCTGTTTGGTGGGTTTGACCGGCTAGCAGGCGCCAAGAAGCTGGATCCCAGATCTCATAGAGACCGTCGCAGAAACTGAGAAACGAGTCAGAACGCCTTGGGACCTCAACAGGACTTCGAACTGCAGAGGTGGGTAAATTTCAAGCCCGAGCTGTGAGAGATGCAAAGAAGGGCGCGCTGCCTCTTCCTGGCTGGGCTTGGCACAGTGCATGTGTGCACGCGAGGAGGGAAGCAGGTAGCTTATTATTTTTAGTTGGAGTCGTGTTGGTTTGGGGCCCGTTGAGTAGACGAAGTGGACATGTTGGCTATCCCCCACCCCCAACACACACACACAGGCACACACCTCCCACTTGCCTGCCTATGGCGCGATCCCTTGTCCTCAAGGACCGAAAGAATCTGGGTGTCCTTAACATCCCTGCCCCTGGGGCAATCTGGATACCAGGGAAAGTGTCCTGGTCTCTGGCACCATGAGCTGTCAAGGCTGCTGCTGGGCTTTGTGCTCTGTGCCCTACTCTGAGGCACTGTGCGTGGACTTGAATGTGGGGTTTCAGGCGGTGGCCAGTGGACTGCTCAGAGACTGCTGGCACTCAGCAAGACAGGCAATATGGGAGGAATAGCTGGTGGGTAACTCTGAAAGCGCAAGAAAACCTGGCGAATGATAACAGTGACACTTTGCAAGGTTTTTAAATGTTGAGGTGATTTCTGGCTGGGTTAACGGGATCTTTTAGCTGGCCTGGGCAGGTGGGGGTGGGAGGCAAAACCCGGGCCGTGGCTAGAGGCAATAGAACTATGGAGTCACTCTGACTGTGGCAAATGGGTTTTTGATGCCCCAGTGTTATATTCCTCGCGGCCTGAACTAGCCGTCTCTTCCTCTTTCTCACCCACTGCACGTTCAGGTCTAGAGAGGGCAAAGAAAACTCCAGCAGCTACCCCTTGTGGGACGGGAGCAAGCGGAGAAATGTGTGCGCAGCAGGACTGAAGGCCCCCGCGACATCGTGCACAGTTCCCCGCCCCCGCCACCCAGCCTGAGAGGCTGCTGCTTGGGCCGGGTACCGAGGAGGGGGCTGCGCTCCTGCTCTGGGCACCGGGATGCGGCAAAACATTGCGGTACCCGCCAGAGGCCCCTCCAACCGCGTCGCCTCCAGCTCTAGGTAGCACTCAGGGGGCTACAGTGGCTGAGCTCTCCACAGTTCTCCCCACCCCCACAGCGGCTCTCAGGGATGGGGCAGCTAAGGTTCCCCATGTCCACTGATGTAGAGCCACCTCGACCTGTGGACCCCCTTGGCAGTGGTTTTCATTCTGCAGACTCGCTCTCTCTGCTTGGGTAAGGAGCGCTAGCAGCTGCACTCTGGTAGATTCTGGATTTATGTTAGGGCAAGGATTGTGCAGTCCTGTGCAGCCTTGAGAGCTGACAGTCTTGCTTGGTACTACCAATAGAAGAAAAGAGGTTAGGGAAATTTGTTCCCCTTGGAAGCCTGAGAGGTGGTTTTGGGTATCCAACCCATACTTTGTAAGGTTTTCTTTTTCGGTTTGTATTTTTGCTGTTTTGTGTCACGTTTTTTGAGTATATTTATAGTGGTATTTCTCTTCCTTACAATACTTTTCTTGGTTTCTTTTTTTCCTAGCCTCATTTTTGACAGTTCTCCAGCTCTCCATGTCTGTTGCCCTTTCAGCGCCTGTTTGCATCTCCTTCTTGGGTTGACTCTTACTCTGACTTACTTGCTTGCTCCAGCTGCTTTTGGTTTCTTCTCTTTCACCAAAACTGTATTTGGGAACTTCTTAGCTCATCCTTGCACCTCCCCGGATCCCTTTAATACTTAAAGTAGAAATTACTGCATCTTGATGAGACCTGATAAGCTAGGATCAGATAGAAGGAGAGGAAGTCTTCCCCTATCAGGAGACTAGGGAAAGGAAGGGCACAGGGGAAGAAGAGGGAGGGTGAGTGGGACTGGGAGGAGACAAGGGAGGGGGCTGCAGAGGGCAGTCAAAGTGAATAAATTGTAATAAAAAATATATAAATAAAATTAAATAAAAATTAGGGACAAATAATAGAAACGTAGAAATTACTAATAAAACGGCAGCTCTTCGTGTATTTTCACATCTGTTAGGCTTTTACTTCTTATTTTTGAGCTGAATTCCACTTATTCGAATTTTGTTTTGTTTCTCTTTGCTTTCTCTGTTTTGGTTCTTTTTAGTTTGGCTGCGTTTTGGTTTCTTTGTTTTTGAATGGGGGTGGTTAGGAACAAGAAATGACTCAACTGAACTAAAATAGCTGTTGAAAGCTACATCAACACAAGGCAAAAAGGACCAGGAGAAAATTTTGATTTTACAATTGAAATTGTTTTGGGTGATGTCATGCTTAAGAACTATGACTTCTTTTTACAATGACAGCTGTGCTATAACAGTGAATAGGGGAAATGCCCACCTATATGACAGCTAAATAACATTTCAGTGGTGCTAGCTCTATTCTGAACCAAAGTATTTAAAATGCAAGTCTTCCTGGGTCTTGGCTAAAGGATTTTCTACCTTCAGACACATTTGGTTTCCCCACTAGCTGATTCCTTGTGAGGAAAAAAAAAGTTTCTATGTGATACATTTTGTTCTTTGCGTTATTTTATCCTTGTGCCTCTGAGTATTTTATTTATTTAATTTATATTTAGTGGTGACCATATTAAAATTGAACTCACCTTCTTCCCATTCACAACTGGAAAGATTTACAAGCCTAAAACTGCATCCAGTAAAATGTGTTCCACTAAATTCTTTTCCATAATGCTGAATAAGGCAGAAACATTCTCTCTCTCTCTCTCTCTCTCTCTCTCTCTCTCTCTCTCTCTCTGTGTGTGTGTGTGTGTGTGTATGAGCATATGTGTGTGTGTGTGTGTGTGTGTGCGTGCCTGTGTGTGTATCTGTTTGTCTGTTTGTAGGCCTTTAAGGAGGTAGATTCAAAGGGTTAATTTTGAATCATTAAACTCTTCTAAGAAGTAATTCTTTATTTGTTTATAGGTAGGTGGATAGAGTGGTCATTTTGGAAGCATGTTTGGTAACTGAAGGCTTTATGTAGAACTGAAGTATGTAGAACTGAATATATCTGTTTCTGCAGATGAAGTTGTTCAAAAACTATGGCAAGTGGACTCCTCTTCCTCAGTAGTGACAGGCTGTGGTCTGAATGATATGATATGCATTTAAGCCAAGAGGTCAGTGGGGACTGGGTTCAAACTGACAAAAGAAGAACAGGAGAGGCCCAGGCAGACAGAAAAGCCAGTTCTGGTGGGTAAAAATGCTGCCTGGATACCAGCAGAGTGCAAAATAAGCAGGTCCCTTTTCTGCTTTCAGGAACCCAAAGACAAAAGGCTTTTTAGCCCCATTTGAGAAGAAACTGACAGCAAATTAGGTGTTGTTTATTAATCTGACAGTTCGTTTTCTAGACCCCAATAGGGTCACCTGTGCTTTTGAAGGCAACAGATTATAGAAATGAAGTGATTCATGGAAACGTACTTACCTAAGTGTCAAAGCTAAGGCAAATTTCTTTTCAGGGCACCTTCCACTTAGCAGTTTTAACCGTTTTTTTAAAGGGACTCAGTCCTCCCACTGCCATATTCTACTTAATTCTGTTCAATTATGGTCAGTATCTAGCTACTGTATCTAGCAGAAGCCTAGAGAAGATATTTCCACCAACTGAGGTATCATTGTGGTATCGAGGATGTAAAAAAGAAAAGAAAAGAAATGATGCTCTAGGTATATTCATTTAAGTGGCAAATAGCAAGCTTGAGGCTTATTCTTAAGGGCAAAGGTTGGTGGTTCAAGTTAAAAACTGAATTTATTAAAGGTATAAGTATGACTTGAAGGATTCCTTACTGTTTGTTGTATATTCTATGCATGTATATTTTGTTCAAATTATAGATATAAAATGTGACATTTTGTGCTTATTATTGTTTAGTGAATAGCAAATCTGGATGTTTTAAAAAATACAGTGCTAGACTGTAGCCATGTGTTCACAATGAGATGATTTAAGTACAAATATTTTTTTTCAAGGAATGACCATTGAAAAACTGTTTTCTTTTTATTTTTTAGATTATTTCTCTTTATTCAGAAGCATAGAGTTGTTTTCTGATTGCAAGAAGATGTATCTTTGGCTCTTTCTGATTGTGTCAGCCCTGATTTCTTCGACAAATGCAGATACTGATGTATCAGTGGAAATCTGCAATGTGTGCTCCTGCGTATCAGTAGAAAATGTGCTCTATGTCAACTGTGAAAAGGTTTCAGTCTACAGGCCAAACCAGCTGAAACCACCTTGGTCTCATTTTTATCATCTTAATTTCCAAAACAATTTTTTAAATATCCTCTATCCAAATACATTCGTGAATTTTTCACATGCAGTATCTCTGCATCTGGGAAATAATAAACTGCAGAACATTGAGGGAGGAGCCTTTCTCGGGCTCAATGCATTAAAGCAGTTGCACTTGAACAACAATGAATTAAAGATTCTCCGAGCTGACACTTTCCTTGGCATAGAGAACTTGGAGTATCTCCAGGCTGACTACAATTTAATCAAGTATATTGAACGAGGAGCCTTCAATAAGCTCCACAAACTGAAAGTTCTCATTCTTAATGACAATCTCATTTCATTCCTTCCTGATAATATTTTTCGATTCGCATCTTTAACCCATTTGGATATACGAGGAAACAGAATCCAGAAACTCCCCTATATTGGAGTTCTTGAACATATTGGCCGGGTTGTTGAACTGCAGCTGGAAGATAACCCTTGGAACTGTAGCTGTGATTTGTTGCCTCTAAAGGCTTGGTTGGAGAATATGCCATATAACATTTACATAGGAGAGGCTATCTGTGAAACTCCCAGTGACTTATATGGAAGGCTTTTAAAGGAAACCAACAAGCAAGAATTATGTCCCATGGGTACAGGAAGTGACTTTGATGTACGCATTCTGCCTCCATCTCAACTGGAAAATGGCTACACCACTCCCAATGGTTACACTACTCAAACAACTTTGCACAGATTAGTGACAAAACCACCCAAAACAACAAATCCTTCCAAAATCTCGGGAATTGTGGCAGGCAAAGCCCTCTCCAACCGAAATCTCAGTCAGATTGTGTCATACCAAACAAGAGTGCCTCCTCTTACACCTTGCCCGGCACCTTGTTTTTGCAAAACACATCCTTCTGATTTGGGATTGAGTGTGAATTGCCAAGAGAAAAATATACAGTCCATGTCTGAACTGACACCAAAACCTTTAAATGCCAAGAAGTTGCATGTAAATGGCAATAACATTAAAGATGTGGACATTTCAGACTTCACTGAGTTTGAAGGACTGGATTTGCTCCATTTAGGCAGCAATCAGATTATGGTGATCAAAGGAGAAGTATTCCACAATCTTACTAATCTACGCAGGCTTTATCTTAATGGCAATCAGATTGAAAGGCTGTACCCTGAAATATTTTCAGGCCTTCATAACCTGCAGTATCTGTATTTGGAATACAACTTAATTAAGGAAATCTTAGCAGGCACCTTTGACTCCATGCCTAATTTGCAGCTACTGTACTTGAACAATAATCTCTTAAAGAGCCTGCCAGTTTACATTTTTTCTGGAGCACCACTTGCTAGACTGAACCTGAGGAACAACAAATTCATGTACCTACCTGTCAGCGGAGTCCTAGATCAGTTGCAGTCTCTTACACAAATTGATTTGGAAGGCAATCCTTGGGACTGCACTTGTGACTTGGTAGCATTAAAGCTGTGGTTGGAGAAGTTAAATGATGGCATTGTTGTGAAAGAACTAAAATGTGAGACTCCTGTACAGTTTGCCAACATTGAATTGAAGTCCCTCAAAAATGAAATCTTATGTCCTAAACTCCTAAACAAGCCATCTGCACCATTCACAAGCCCTGCACCTGCAATTACGTTCACCACTCCATTGGGTCCTATTAGAAGTCCTCCTGGGGGCCCAGTGCCTCTGTCTATTTTAATCTTAAGTATCTTGGTGGTTCTTATTTTAACTGTTTTTGTTGCATTTTGCCTTCTTGTTTTTGTGCTAAGACGCAACAAGAAACCCACAGTGAAGCACGAAGGTCTGGGGAATCCTGAATGTGGCTCCATGCAGCTGCAACTAAGGAAGCATGACCACAAAACCAATAAAAAAGATGGACTGAGCACAGAAGCATTCATTCCACAAACCATAGAACAGATGAGCAAAAATCACACCTGTGGCCTCAAAGAACCTGAAATTGGGTTCATGTTTTCAGATCCTTTGGGACAGAAGATCATGACAAGAAATGCTGCTGACAAAGACAAAGATTTATTGCATGTAGATACCAGAAAGAGACTGAGCACAATTGATGAGCTGGATGAACTATTCCCTAGCAGAGATTCCAATGTGTTTATTCAGAATTTTCTTGAAAGCAAAAAGGAGTATAACAGCATTGGTGTCAGCGGCTTTGAAATTCGCTATCCAGAAAAACAACAAGATAAAAAAAACAAGAAGTCACTGATAGGTGGTAACCACAGTAAAATTGTTGTGGAACAAAGGAAGAGTGAGTATTTTGAACTGAAGGCAAAACTTCAGAGTTCCCCTGACTACCTACAGGTTCTCGAAGAGCAAACAGCTTTGAATAAGATATAGGTCATATAATCTGACTTCATACAGAGGACATTATTTAATGATGAAAGTGCCTTTTGTTGACTTCTAATTTCCAAATAATATATTATCATTAGGCATAGAGACAGGTGTTTCCAAGGGTATCTCATTAACTGTAGCTGTAAAGATGTGTCAAGTAAAAAAGAATTTCCTTAATAGATTTTACTACATAAAACCTATACTGTGGAGTCCTGTGGGGTTACTGCAAACTCTATTGCCAAAGGGATGCTTTATAAACATAATACACTGAATTTAACCTCAAGAGGCAAATCCGTTTTGTACCCTGATGCAAAACCTTCGTCGCTTTGTGCTTTTAAAGCAAACTCAAGAAAACTGGTACCAGTGTTTGTACCTCAGCTGGGTTCTTCATCTTGCACGTAGATTAAGTCGATGAAACTGGAATAACCCTTTTGATTTGTGGCATTGTAACAACTCTGTGTAAAGATTATTTGAAAAGTGTGAAAAACAAATAAGCATGCAAAGAGAGAACATTTGATAGTATTTGTAAATCGGTAAAATTTATGGCCTGCATCTTGAAAACACTGGATTTGTAATGTTAAATTGTGGAAATACTTGTTTAAAATATACCATGCATTACATAACTATAAAATAAATTCGAATACTTCACATCTTACCTGTCTATACATAAAAACCTAAAGGAGAAAAAAAAATAAATGTGAGTTACATAGCATTTGTGGTGATCTAGAGAAAAACATGATGTTTATCATAATTAAACATGGCTCAAATTAAACTAGATTTTGTTCTCAGTGTTGTCAAATACCCACAATCCTTAAAGGTTGTCCAAAATTAGCAAAGTGCTTACCGTGTGAGCGCACCCAAAGCTATTTTTGTAACATAATTCATATTTATGAAGTACTTTGTATACTAAATAGGAAAACATGTACTCCTTAATATGTATTTAATATGCCTGACTTATTCTCCTGATCATAGCAAATTTATCAGTAAGTATAAATTTAGGTAAGATAAAGAAATACTAAAGTGAAACTGAAGCTAATGTGTATAGAAATATTTTGGATTCTGTGATCAGGTATAATTTAAAAGCAGAAAAAAATACAAAAAAAAACCACAAAAATTTTAAAAAAAGTTCTGTGCAATTCTTGTGAATTTAGCATATTATCTTCAGATTTGTTACCAACTGTGCATTTTAAAATAGGCTCCTTAGTTTTATAGTAGTGTGTCTGGGGCAGTTGTTATTTGCCATCAATTGTCATGCTTTTCAGTATTCTATGAGCTTAATTCAAATAGTTTTAATTACAATATTTAACAAATTAATGACTAAGGTAAATAGTATCTTGTATGCATCAGTATCCTGTTCTTTCATCCATCTGACAACTATCAGATAATCTAGTAGAACTGTAAACATCACAGTAATCTTGGCTAACAAAGCCACACTAAAATGCTTGCAATGGGCTCAGAGGAATTCATGATCTACAACTACAACTGATATGCCCCTGTGTTTGCGTGTGCTTTTAAGTTCTAGATTAGAATTGGTCAACTAATTGAAGAATTTGTTAACGGGTTGATAACTGAAGATGTTTAGGAAGTCTGATTAGCAAATCAATATTCAGAGACTCATTGCTTTCTTGGCCAGCTGTGTGTGTGTGTGTGTGTGTGTGTGTGTGTGTGTGTGTGTGTGTGT